TCGGAATTAGAACTCTGCCATTGCTGATGAAGATGGGGACGGACGCTTGCGGGAATGTCATTCGTGATGTGATGTTGAATCTAATGCAGATTCCTGTGGCAGTCCTGGAGCTAGAGTAGTTGGTTCAGAGGTCCATGAACCCAGGCGGAGAGCCACCCGGCGAGTACTGTAAGGAGTAATCAGTAAATCTTTCCGATGCTCAACACTCAAGGAAGAGGCTCGACGGATAAACACTCAGACTGTTACTAGTGCCATCGGAATTGGAACTCTGCCTTTGCTGATGAAGATGGGGACCGAGCGCTTGAGGGAATGCCATTCGTGATGTGATGTTGAATCCGAATTGAACATTGAACAAATTCACCATTTGACATAAATCATGTCATATGGCAACCGTATGAGCGACACGCATATGCCACATTCTATAAGCATTTCAGGGCGGTCAGTTTATCTCCCCCCCCCCTCCCCCTCGTCCTGAAGGTATCCCAGTTATTCTAAGGTGAGTTCATTCTTGTAGCACTAACGTTGTTTACGAAACCATCTAGCTACAGTAGTCTGCAGGCTGCGTATATGGGTCTTAACATCATTTGCATCCAAGGCTTGTGAAAGATACCTTAACAATAAAGGTTGATAGATTTATTTCTCCACAATTCTTTGTGTCGGAGGTCACTTCAAAACACATTTGAAACCAGTGTGGGCTAGATTTTTATTAAGCTCCCAATGACCTTCATGGCTAAGGCCTTAAACAGAGGAGACTTGCTCTCAACACATGCAGTGTTTAGAGGACTGTATGTTCGGTGACCGAGGTTTTGTTCGTGAACAGAGACTTCTTCTCTACACCCCCCGCCCCCCCAATTCCCTTCAAGAATAATTGTGTTTAAAGAAAATGAAAAGCCCCGAAAACAATCGTTCCACTGTATTTTATTTTTTGAATGCATATATGTCGAATTATATCTGTACACGTTCTCTCACTGTTTTTAATACTGAAATCACCAATGTCATGATGTCAAACTGCCCAGCATCTTATCTCCTGGTCTCCCTCTGCACCCATCTAACTTTTCCCGTCGTCACGATGTGCTCCAGTTTCCTCCTTCTCACTATATGACCAAAGTAATCCTAATCGTGAAAGCAAATAAAAATGTCAAATGTTGTCCTCTCTCAGCTGCCCGAAGGCCTTCTTTATTAAAGACGGTTTCTTTGCTGATTAAATTTGATTATATGTGGCGTATTCCAGTTTTTTTTTTGGGAGTGGATTTGGCGGCCTGGAACGGAAATGGGCGGGTAATTTAAATCGACCGGAAATCGAACCCGGGTCACCCGCGTGGCAGGCGAGTATTCTACCACTAGACCACCGATGCCTAAAACGTGACCAATAATCAAAGAATGCAGACAGTCTTGATAAAGCCAGTCACTTCTCTCTTCGCGAGTCAGTTTCTTTTAAGATATGCGAATTTATATAATTAATTCGTTTTTGAACATGTTTGTTTTAATAGTTTTTCAACCTTTGTAACCATACTTCATGCATTTAACTATCAACACTATGAAAATTATATACCCCCCCCCCCTCCGCCCCCCACACCTTTCCACTCCATTGATAGGAGTCAATACATTTTTTGCGAAATGTTTTTTTCCTTTACGTTATTTGTGAAGCTCTGCTCTTTTCCAGTTTTACGTCTCGAACACAGAACATCAGGTTGAAACAAAGCAGACCTCTGTCTTACTAAAACATCTTGAATGAGATTTCTCTTTGCCTGAATCATTAGTCTTAAGTGGGGTTTGACACTGTCCATAAGAAGGACATTAATGATGTAGCTTTTTTGCAGCTGTGTCGGGCTACTGCAAGACTTTATACCTCATCTCATATTCAACACATTTCGGTGATCAGAGAACTAAGAACATCACAATTTCCCTAAGCCTCCACCCCCTTTGTACTTTTTCCTCCTGCTTCTAAATGTGGTCCAGTTCTTCCCATGTAAGCTTATTCATCTAGCCCTTACTTGGTAACTGCACTCTCCGGCTACATTAATCTTAAGCCAGATTTCGTAGCCTATGGGTCATTTCCAGCTCAGGGTTATCAAAGATTCTCAAAGAATAAAGGGTGGTGAAGTTATTTCTGTAAAACTATCTGTGTCCGAAATCACTTCAAAACACTTCGAAATTATTCTGGTCTATAATTTCTTAAAGATTCCTATGACCTTCAAGCCCCAAGGCCTGTAGTAAAGGCGTCTTACTTTCTTCTCATTAAGTAAGTGTTTTCAGGACTAACTGTTCAGGGACCGATGTTTTATTGTTTGTATATCAAGAATTTTCCAAACCCCACACCCCAAAGAAAAACCGAAGTTCCAGTGGTTTCTTTTTAATTCTGTGTGTGGATATGCGTGAAATTCTTCACTGCACATTCTTACAATGTTTATAATAGTCAAGCCCCAACAGTGACTACAGATTAGTTTGTAACCGTAGGGAAGGACTAATACATCGGTGTTATTGGTTTTTTCGGGGCTGGAGATTTGCTTCTGTTTTGTTCTTATCCAAGTAGTGTTGATCTCTCGACCAGCAATCCTGGTGTGGGAAAAAACCAAACAATGAAGTTGTTTTGTCTTAAAGGATCATTTTTACACGGCTTTAGGCGTTTAGCGTGGGTCGTGTGGTCAACATGACGCCGGAGATCTTTGCTTCCCAGGACATCTTCTGGTACCTACTTAAGGCAGTGTCGATCTGGGAGCCAAGGCCATGTTTGAAATATTCCCGGCTTCGTTAAGAATTTAACCCGTGACCGTCGGATCCGAAGGCGAGCGTGTAGCAGCTACAGGAAGTACGGCGTACGGCGGCCTCCCTCTTTACAATGCCGGCATCATTAGCACATGTGACGGAATAAGCAAAGCGGTATGCAGTCATAATTCTAAGCAAGAGATGCACACACATGCGTCAAGAGTTAACTATTATGTAATAAACTGTGCATAGAGCAGGTTTTTTTTCCTTCAGTTCTTTGCGTTTTAAAAATTTGGTTTGTAAATAATCGTCTTCATTAGATATAATTTGTATCCCTGCTACTGAAAAAAGAGACATAAATAAGTTTGGCATTTTTACGACTTGGCGCAACAAGCGTTTAGTCGATGCCATTGCTTTGGGGGAAACAATTCGTCTCGTTTAACCAGCATCCTCGAAATGGTTACCTTTATGTTATTATTGTGACTAGGCTATGTGCGCCATATAAAATGGCTTAGCATTGCACACCACCAAGAGTCCTGAACAGGATTTCGTTAGTGTCAAGGCGATCAAAGGAGACAGACCCAAATAGGGTTCTGACGGGCGAATAGTCGTCTACCTGTGAGGACTTTGATAAAGCGTGTGGTATTAGACCGCTAATGTTTTTAGCCTGCGGGGCATTATTTGTGTGATGTTAGCAGTATGTAGCCGGTCTCCTTTACTTTCCAGAAAATATGATTCCCATTTATGCATGAGTAACAGTGATCTATGATCATTTATACAAATCCCCCTCAACGCATATTTGAAACCAACACCTTCGAGCCGACATGCAGGGCTCTAACCTGTGAGGCTGCTATGATTGATTAAACTTTTTGTTGATGATTTAAGTGTGTAACATACATTTGTGTCTATTCATTCCTAGCTAACGCATCCTCTATAGCCAAAGGATCTGAGCAGCACAAAGAAATATGGAAGGAAAATCTGTGCGAGGTAATAATTGTCTTGATATTTCTTGTTTTAATATTATTTCAATTTCATGTTAAATGTTTAAACAACGGATCAATATCATGACACAGGGAAAGTAACCCATAAGAGCTCCGTTTTACTTCTAATTCAAGCCTGAGCCTAAAAATCTTAGTGCACGAACTCTGTAGCGCCGGCGAGGATCCTGAAAATACTTTGCGTGGATTTTAAACTCCGGACGCCATGCCCCGAGACCACTCAGCCTCACATTGACTGCATACTGAGCACATTAGTATCTTAGTAACCGAATGACAGTTCTCCCATCGCCTACGCACAAGAATAGTCGCAGCACATAGCTTGAACATAGTATTACTGTGAGGTTCTACTTGTGTTGGCAAATATCACATCGTGTGTAATATAAATATAATCTTTTGTGGAAAAATATACTCCTTCAGCAGATAATGCCGTTAGATTTATTGTTAGAGATTCACACATACAACGCGATGACATGTCGGGTGCTGTTCGGCGATCCCTTTCTGATCAGTTTTTTCTTCCGAGACAGCCAGTAGAAAATTATGCAAAACAAATAGCTCAAATTAATATAAGGCTAGTCATTTGAGGAAAATGTTCTTAATTTTGATGTTACATTTCCACAACGGCCCCTTCTAGGGGTAACATGCATACATAACATAGCCCTTGAACTGTTATGGTCGTGGAGATGTATCAATGGAAGCACTAGGACACAAAACTGTTCTCTGACTTCCGCTTGATGAATAAGTCTATAACAATTTAGTCCTGTCCATTTTTTGATGTTGTCATTTCAGGTTCTTCTTTGCCCTTTCCTTCTTCGACTACCCCCAATGTTCCTTAAATTTTTTTTAAATCGAATCATCTCTCACAACGTGCCCGAACGAAGCTAGCTTGTGACGTTTCACCACTGGCAAGAGAGGCTCGTGATATCCTGCAAATGTGTTTATTTTGTCTCTGACATGTTA